GCAGGTCCTACTTCCTTTCTTTTTCTCCTTTTTCTCCTTTTTTTCTTCTTTTTATTTTTATTTCAATCATTTTTGTTTTCATGTTTATTATTTTTATTATTTTAAGTATATTTGTTGTTATTTTTTATTGTTGTTATTTTGGTGCTGGTGGTGCTGCTGCTGCTGTTGCTGCTGCTGCTGCTGCTGCTTGTCTGGGGGGTGCTGCCGATGCTGTTGCTGCTGCTGCTGCTCTGCTGCTCCTGTTTATATATTTATTTACTTTATTTATTTATTAATATATTTGTTTATATATTTATTTATTTATACATCTATATACTTATTTATATATTTATATATTTATTTATTTGTATGCGTACATATATATTTATATCCACGTATATTTGCACATCTATATATACATATATATTTATATATATTTTATCTTTATTAATATATTTATAAATATATTTATATTTATTTATTTATTTATTTATTTTTATTTTTTTTTTTCTTAGGCTTGGTTTTCTTTGTGTCGTCGAGCTGAGCTGGGTTTCTTTTTTTCTGTCTCTGATTTTTTGCTGCCTCCTCCGCTGCTGCTGCGCATAGCAAACGCAGAGTTTCGTTTCTTGCTGCGCTGCAGCAGCAGCAGCAGCAGCAGCAGCAGCAGCAGTAGCAGCAGCAGCAGCAGCAGCAACTGTAGTGTTGGTGGTGCTGCAATGAGCAGCAGCAGCAACGGCAGCTGCACTGCACCCCACCCCAGCCCTTCAGCAGCAGCAACAGCAGCAGCAGCAGGAGGACAAGGACATCCCCAGCACCCGCAGCAGCAGCTGCAGCAGCTGCAGCAGCAGCAGCAGCAGCAGCAGCAGCAGCAGCAGGATGCTGCTGCTGCTTTCGACTACTTTGCTGCCTTCAAACGCACCGTCAGGCTCTTCAAGTCTGTACACCCCCCGGTGGTGCGGACGCTGCAGCAGGAGATCAACTACAAACGAGGTGCAGCAGCAGCAGCAGCAGCAGCAGCAGCAGTAGCAGCAGCAGCAGGTGGTGCTGCTGCTGCTGCTGTAGTTGTAGCTGTAGTACACCATGTTGAATTCTGCTGCTGCATCTGTTGCTGTTAGGATGCTGCTTCGATCGCTGCTGCTTCTGCTGCTGCAGTTGTTTCTGCTGCTGCAGCTGCTGTTGCTTCTGCTGCTGCTGTGTTTCTCCTGCTGCTGCTGCTGCGTTTCTTCTTCTGCTGCTGCGTTTGTTTCTGCTGCTGCTTTTGCTTGTGCGTTTCTTTCTGGTGCCACATATGCGTCTTCTGCTGCTGCTGCTGCTGAGGGCAAGGGTGGGGTGCTAGCAGCAGCAGATGCTGCTGCTGCTAACACTAATGC